TGAACCTGTATGCTTGACCAAGCTCACTTTATTCAAGATTAGAGGATAGTTTTGCCGCCTACTCAAATAAGGAAGTTATAATATTAACGATTGAATGTGGAAACATACGCTTGTAATATGAAATGTATTCACTTTATTTCATTTAAAATGATGAAGGACGGGTAGTTGAATTCTCCCACAAACGTATGATTGGGGCTGACGTTTAAATTGAATATCACATTGCCTTGCTTTCTCAAAAGGTGTTCTCATCCAGGCTGAAGTAGATTGCAGTTTCGACCTCATATCAAAACCCCAATCGGGAGTCGAACCATAACAGTGCAACGTGTAATCTAGGCACATTAACCACGAGTGCACTTGGGCCACAGAGAAAATGTGAATTTCAAGAAAGGCTGGGTCTTTTACCGTATCATAATCTTGTTGTGATTGTCGAAGAAGCAAATTTATATTTGCTATGACATTAGACTACATTACTTATATTTCGTTCATAAGCAGGATGTCAAGGCTAGCAGTAAATCAGTTGTAAGAGATGTATAAATAATGTAGTCGATGGTCATAACAAATATAACTTTGCTTCATCGACAATCCCAACAAGGAATGTGATATGCGAAAATGCCTGGTCTTCCTTGAAATTCACATCTGACTTGTGACCCGAAGACACTCGTGGCAATTTGGCGTAGTGGTTAATTTATCTAGATTATACGCAGTACTGTCATGGTTCAACTCCCGCTTGGAGTGTTGATGAGACCTATGCGACGACGAAACTGCAGTCCACCCTGAATGAGAACAAACGTTGTGAAAGCAAAGCCATGTGAAATTCAACGGAAACGTCAGCTCTACTCATATTTGTGTGGGAAAACTCAACTACCAGTCCTTCATTACCTTAAACGAAACAGGATGAATACATCTCATATAACGGGTTTATTGGTATTCCCAAAACCCTACTTATGGACAAAAATAAGCTTATACTATCTGCAACAATACGTTTACTGATGTGAGTTTGGAAAGGAGCGTCTTGTCATAAAGTACAATTTGGCTTGTGACATTTTGGCACCCACGACTTCTGGTTTAACATCCCCTTATTAGTGCTGTAATGAGGCAAAAGTATTAATTGGTATTGTGAGGCCTACTACCCACTTTACTATGAAAAATTCAGCACCACCTCAAGTGTCTTCGAAGTGAGTAGTTTTTGAGATTGTCCATGTGGGGAGACTTAACTATCGGTCTCTAAATCGCTTTAAACGGCTCATGTTGACAATGTTCTTGCTCAACTCATGCAGCCCAAGTAAACTGAGAGTTTTGAAACGGATGAGAACCAACCACGAAGCCGAGGCAACTGTTGAGATTCCGATTCCATAGACAGGCACCAGGCCTAGTTCCCGCCACATCCATAAATAAAATCTAGCGAAAATGGAGTATATTTCCAGCTTTATTTCAAATCACATGTATTGTAAATCCTCAAAATTTGTACATAATATTTAGACTGATTCGCATGGATTGGCTTGAGAGGGGGGGTATCTGGCTTGCTCTTCTGCCTGACCGCTGGCTCACAAGAGAAGAGGTTTTGGCATGGAGTATCCTGCAGCCTTTTGCTTGGCCAACTCTGTACACTTTTTTGGCGATTCTTGATTAAATTCACTTCCTCCTTCATCCTGGAATCATTGTCCACTTCCCTCTCTCGTCCCGTCTCATTCGCATTCATACACATGCAGCCAGCACTTTGGCACACCAACATACATGTACATATGCGCCTATCCCTCTCTCCTCCCCTCCACCTACACACGACCACATATACACACACACACACACACAGACAACAATTGTTTTGCCTCAGACTGGCTTGACCACGCTGTGTATCTTGTGATGCAACAGTGTGGAATGGTACATTTAAACAACATAGGCAAACGTGTATGCAAGTATTCACATAAAATACACACATGAACTCGGTCACGCGATTCATTCACTTCCCTATACTTTTCTGCATTGTGAATTGAATCAAATTCGTGCATCATTAGTTTGTCGCTCGTGTCGACGTTGGACGCGCAGTGTGACGCGCCTCGTAGTTCCGCCCACCAGACCAAGGCTCCTGTAGACCGAACTTGAAATTGGCGCGTGTAAAACGGGTTGACCACTCGACGAACGGCATTGCAAACTGGAAATGCAGCTGCTGTCTGGCTTTTCGCAACATAAGATCTTTATAATAGAATCTGTTGATGGTCAGTTGGCATGAAAGCGTGTGTTGGTTTTGTGATTTGTAGCATTTAAGTGGGTAAAGCACATGGTGTGCTTGCGTCGGTGTGCATGCAGTAAAAAAGGTGAGGGAGACAAAATAATCAAAAGTTAGCTGTTGCCAAGTCTGCTAATTGAAATAATAACCACCACCATCGAGAACCAATAAAAAATCAAGGAAGCCCTAAAAACCTACTCTATGGTGCCTCCTTTAAGCACATATTTAAATCAATGACCTCAAGGCATTCAACGGCGACTACATTGAATAGTTCGTCATGCAACTTGGACGGTGCCATGCAATAGCTAGACTCTGTGGGGGCTGTAATGAATTAATTTTTATTAAGGCATAAGTCTGGAAGCGGTGAAGCCCGAGGGTCAGAAAGACAATATTTGTTTTTTCTTAATGCTCTCCGTTTTATTAAACGAACTCACATCATGGGACATCTCTGTGTCATTCATGTCAACACATCTTTCATGCCATGGATTCATGGAAGTGTAGGAATCTCCAGGATCTCTGTGTCATGGCAACAAGCCAGCGGAGGCTCTGGGTGGTAACTTTGAACTGCATGCTGGGCCCAGCAGAGGTACTAAATCTCTTCTGGCGGAAGGGGAACAATGTCTCCTGAGTTCGTCCCCCCAATAAGCCGAATTGAATTCATTCAATATTGAGATCTACGAGTGA